CCTCACTTAAAATAATGAGAGTACATTAACCAAAATAAAAGCCAAGCTGGAAAAGAGGATAACGTGGTCCAGGAAAAGAAACTCAGTAGAACGCAGTGTCGTGAGAGAAGAGCAGGGATCTTTGAGGACCAAAGTATTTCTGAGCTGTCAGTGTCAGAAGGCAGAAGGCAGGGGTCAGTGATCTTAGAACCCTCCTGGTAGCTGCTTTCCTTTGCATTCTTCACCCAGAAGAATGCATTCCTTTCCCTTAGTCACTGGATGCCACAGCCAGACAAGGTACACTATAGTGCTTCAATCATTTTTTGACAGGCTGGTAACTCGAAGTCAGTCCAGGCCTTTCCCTGGCAGTTGATTTTGTTTAGTCAAAGTCTGGATTTTTCATGTATGATTATCTTGTTTGACTTAATTGTTTGCTTAAAAACAGCTGCAAGAAAATTATGTGTAGCAATTGTTTTTAAGGTTTCACTAATAATAGAACAGTTTTATCTTAATTGTCACACTGAATGTACAGCAGGTAGGGATGAAAAAATGAGAAACTATTTCTTGGAGAAGTCAGAGTGCATTTTAAAGGAAAAATACCATTCTAAAAGATGTTCAGAAATAAAAATCTCTCTTCCTTTTTATATATAAATAAATATAAAAAGGTAGTGCAGAGAATTTAATTTATAATTTTCAAGTTCAATTAAGTAAATATTCAAAAATTCTGTGGCAAATATTCTAAATATTTTTCTGAAGAGAGGAACTTGTACATTCTGTTTGGAATGTCTTTTGAGGAATTAAAAAGCACTTAAAAAGGAAGACCAAATAGATAGATATTTTCTTAAATGATAGATTATATTTGCATGTACAGCAGTTGTAAGATGCAGTAGCAATCTGTTTTTCCTGCTGAGGTTTTTCCTGCAAGATCAAAGACCAAAATCTCCAGCACAGATTCTCTGCCACTAACTCTAAAGCAACATATTCTAACCTTTCATCTTTCAGTAGTTTCATGTACATCTTAAGACAGTTTCTTAGGGACCAGAGAGAAAACACTTTTAAAAGTCATCATCAAAGCTGTTTTCATTGACTCTTGACTCTTGTTTATGTGCTTTTTCTTCATCTACTGCAGTGTTTGCAGTTCAGGCTATTTTTGTTGACATGGAGGGCTAGGAGCAGGCTGATGGATTCAGCAGCTGCAAGTTACAGGATCAGCTGTCTGGAAGACTGAGTGAAGTGGGCAGTTGGCAGCCAAATGGGGCACAACCCCTGTAGCCTGAGAAATTCCATAGTCAGTGCTACAGGAAAGCCCATGAGAGGATGACAAAATCTTTACCTTAATATCGCTGTTAAACTGTGTAAAAACAAAAATGCCTAGCTGACATGTGAGATTAATGATTATAAAAATTGTTTTGGCAATGGTGCTTTCTAAAAATCAGATTATAATATCTTCTATGAATACATATGATATGAAACTGTATGCTATTAAAATGGGGAATATTTTGTCCACATGTATGTATAGGCTTTATATTATTACCACTGACCTGGAACCATGCTTATTTACAAACAGATGCCAATAGATTATTACTTAAAAGTGAATGATTTATTTTACCTACCTGCTACTTCTGGTAAGAGCAACTGGCACTCATGACAGCAGTTAGGTGCTATCTCGTGACACTGCTGCTCTTTATTTATAAATACAAAGTGTAAAAAGGCACAATCCAGTGTTTTGCTGGTTTGGCTGTATCTAATGCTGTCACCTACAAGGATTTAGGAAGAATGAGAATGAAACCATGCCATACCAGGTCTTGATAAAGTAAAATCATGTATTTACATAATGTGACTTTTTTGTGCAGTATTTGAACTGTGTGAATTCTTGCAGAAAATTATTAAATTCAAAGCTGTGCTAGGTGTAATTTTTTAATTTTACTGAATTATATGTAAATCTAGACATCAGGTACAATAAAAGTTTTAATAGAAAATATCAACTGGATTATATTGTTTCCTCTCAATATGCTTGGTTTGTGCCAGGCAAGTGTAGAGAAAGGATGCAAATAAATAGGATGCAGCTTTATTAATGCTGTTCTGCTGAACACTAATCAGCATTAACTTAAGGGCAAAACTTAGCATTTCTTTGGAATTATTTTCTCCTGCAGGCTAGCATTAACTTTTACACAATTATTCTCTTATTGGAACAGCTTCCATCTTCACACCATTATGTGACAGTTAAAATCAAGGAGAGGGGGTGTCAGTAGGGCCCTAAATTCTTTTTTTACAGAGCACTGTAAAATGATACTGTCTATAATCTAAATCCTTTAAGAACTGGTATTTTGTCTTCTACTGACTTAGTCTCATATGATAAGATCAGAGAATGTGACTTTGGATGTGACCAAGCTCAGGCTTAGGTTCTCTCCATATTACTGAAGCTGTAAGGAGCTGTTAATTACCTTGTTAGTACATAAAGCACTTGGCTGTTGTTGTGTGCCACAGTAGTCTGTAAACAGATTTTGTTTTTTGAGGGAAAATGAGCAAATTCTAGCAAGCCATGCAAGAATTAACAGCATATGTTCTTGAATATCTGCTTCTCTCAAACCCCTAGTGGTGCTGGGATTTGCATCTCAGTACAAAGTTGGTTTCTTATGGAGAGTTTGTCTACTTCAGAAATTTGAGATGATTTTGTAGCTAGCACAATGGGACAGCAAGAGAAAACTCATTTGAAGTGTGGGTCAGAATTTTTGATTTAGAGTATTATCTAGATTCATTAGCCAATATTTTCAGTACATTATCAAACAATTGTCAGAAGAGCACTTGTTCATTGTTCTTTCTTCTTATGGCTTTCTGTTTACAAGCACTTTGAGAATTCATATGGTAGTTGAATGCAGTATGTGTGAAGCTGGAAAATACTAAAAACTTGTTTTGGAGTCTGGCACATCCTTAAGCTCTTTCACATAAATAGTCTAAAAGGAGGTACTTTTCTGTACTTTTCTGTAGACTGTGTCTAATTTACAAAATTACAGTTAATGGACACAATCTATTTTTTAATCACTGAAATTAAAATTCAACTGAATTATGGCCAAGAGGAAGAAACCATTAACAGTCTTGGAGAAGTAAAATTCAGCAAATTCAGTTAAACTAATTAATTAGAAATATTCTTTAAAGCATTTGAAACAACATAGAATTACAGCTGTGCATTTCAGTTGTGAATCAGCTGTAGTTGACTAAATGGGATAATATGATCTCTTTCCAAAGCTCAGAGAGTTTTGTCTCTGTCTGTGTGTCTGTAGCATTTGATGAGCATATTAATCTGGTAACTGGAGTGTCCATTTGCTCACCTGGAAGTGTGTGGGTGCTGGAAGCCCTGAGCACTTGCAGCCCTGCATGTTGGCAGGCGAGGCAGTGTGAGTTGTACTTGGAAATACAGGTGCTGCTTCTTGCAGCAAGAGGACTGAGGGTACAGGGGAAGAGATACTGCCCTTCTCTCTATGCATCTACAATGATCTGCTCATGGAAACTCCAGCTTTGCACTCATCTGGCATTTCTGAGAACTACTCCTGCAGAGGGCTCTATGTAATTGTCAGTGTTTCATTAAAATGAGTACCTAACAAATAGCACCTGGTAACAGCTGATATTGCAGTGTCTGTTATACAAAATCATTCAATACTATCAAGAGATTTGATTTTGGTTTAATTTGTTACCAAAGAGTGATTACATATTAAATACTTTGCTTTTACTTTCATACTGAAGATACCAAATCTGAACTTAAAGAAATAACTGTACTATGTTATTAATTTTGAAATAGTCAGGTTTACTGATTTTCCTGTTATGCAACTGCCATACAAAACCCCAAGAGTATCATCAGAGACATAAGATTTCATTGTAATTGTCTGATAGAATTGTTTCAATAGCAAACTTAAAATGCAAAATTATAATTATTCTCATATATATATATGAGGTTTATAAAGATCTGAATTAATTTTATTTTTTAATAAAAGGATCTTGGATTTAAATATGCTATTAAGTCACCTTAATCTTAGTCACCTTAAGTCACTGCCAGATATGTAGGAGAAAACTTCTAGGGTCCAGTGCCAGTTTTTCAGTGTTTTAATTACGTTTCCTTGTATATAACATGCTTTTTACACATAGTTTTCAAACAGAATTGTAATAGACTGTTGTTTTCTTAACAGCATGCCCCTAAATGTTCTTTAGTATTGTGATTTGTCCTTTCATAAAGAAAATGAAGGCTAGATTGAAATTATTTTACTCTGTATGCAGCACAACCTCAGTAATCTGTAACATTATTTTTAAATTTGGAGGATACCATCCCATCAAAAGTTTAGTTTTATAACCTGGTAACCATATTTTCTTTCTCCTTTTCTAATACAGCTATTTTCAGCTTCTCTGTTTTCCTTCTTCTTTTCCACCAATCTTCTGTTCAGTTTTGTGCCCAGTGCAAGACTATGCAAAAATCAGTGCCCTGTTACCACCACAGACAGCAATGGGTAGCAGAAATAGCATATTCCCATTGAGTCTGTCACAGACTTTTGTCCTGCTTGGTTATAGAGGTTAGAGTTAAATTCTGTCCAAATGAATTTTTTTTTTGATGATGGCACAGACCAGATTCTTTGCATTTTAACTGGTGGGCATGTGTGTGTGTGTGTGTGTGTGTGTGCCTGGCAATCTTATCACTTTCATTCCTATTGCTGTCTTCTAGGATGTCACTGTATGGTGTTAGTTTTCTGCTTGTGATTCATGTGATCTTGTTGTGCCATCCTTCTTTATTGTATGCTGTCTCTGCACTTACTGAGCAGTACTGCCAAACAGGACAGCTGCTGCTTCAGTTGCTGCTGCATTGCCATGAATAATAAAAAAAAAAATAAATAAAAAAGTCTGGATGTATTAAGTACAGTATATTTCCCCTACGAAAAAATCTATTCTGGATTTAATTAAAAGTGCATGAAAAGTAGACCTGATCCATGACAGAACCATGCCCATAGCTAAATATCTATTTTATTTTTCCATTACAGGATATTTGTGAAGATATATCTGATCATGTTGAACAAATTCACGCTCTACTAGAGACTGAGTTTTCCCTGAAGCTTCTGTCTTATTCTGTCAATGTGATAGTCGATATCCATACAGTGCAACTCCTCTGGCACCAGCTACGTGTTTCTGTCCTGGTTCTGAGAGAACGCATTCTCCAGGGGCTACAAGACGCCAATGGAAACTACACCAGGCAGACTGATATTCTGCAAGCATTTTCTGAAGAGACTAAGGAGGTACAGTAACTAAATCCAATCTGAAGAGTTTAATCTGTGTTCAAAGCAGCTCATCCCTCTCGCACATTTAAAATTGCTAAAATGACCGTTTTAAGGATGACTTCTAGATATTTTGCTAAATTTGGTTTAATTTTCAGATGATACCTGCTGTTGTTGAACCAAATTAGTGCAAATTAAGATCAACTTTTAGGAATGTCAGGCTAGCAATGTTTTCTCTTGATTGAAATAATTTTCAGAAAGAATTTGAAAGACTTAGATAGTTGCATCTGTTCCAAAGTTGTTCACCTAGTCAATTGGGAATTTAAGATTTACCGCCAATTCAAAAGTTAATTTTAGTGGGCAGTGATTTCTTCAGTGAAAGTTCAGACATTTCCTTCCAACAGACACAAATGTGAAGCTTACAAAAAGTTTCCAAGACTTCCCAGCTTAGATCAACATTTCTTTATAGCAAGAGGAAGATCTTTAATTTGAGTGGCAATTCTGCATTATGCCTTTAAACAGTCAAGCATTTTATCTGAGAAACAACAGTGCAAGACTCATACACTGTTTACTCTGACTGTATGGCAAATTCACACACATGTAAATGGTTTGTAAACCTGGCTTCATTTAAATAAAATGCCTTTTCATTGAATTTATTATTACAAAATTAGTTTAGTTAGAAGGATGCTACTACTCTGATTTCTTAAACTTAAAAAATATGGATATTTTTAAGAGTTAGGGTAATTAATGGTTAATCAATAGCATGTAGAAGATTTTTCATTAAGATTAAGATGAAATGCCTTTTTTATGATTAGATGCACTTACAGAAAGAGACCTCTAGATCAGTGCAGTGAATTTTGTGACCTGTGTTACAGAGAAAGTCAGAAATTCCCAAGACATGTCCTGAGTTTCATATCACCCAAGGTCACAGAGAATGTGACTATTTCTCTGCTCCAGTTGGGTTTTATATTTGTCTTTGGCACAACAAAGTGGGTGGTCCAGAAGTCAGTGCTCAGAGATGCCCAGGCCCACCTTCACCACCCCCTCTTCCTGATGTGTACATACCTGGCTCTTTTATATTCAGTTTCTGCTTTGCTGGTGCTGGTAAACTGCTGGCAGGTCTGAAGGAAATCTACTCTTGTCTTCACGTGCAGATTTGTGAATTAGTGGGATGTCATTATTTTATGCCAAGGACATGGTTATTTCAAGACATAAAGAAGGTGTACATTCAGATATAAGAAACAGGAAATTTTCCATCTGGATCTGATTACAACTGCTATAAAAAACATCTTTGCTGAAGAGAGAAGGAAATATTATTTTTCAGTAGGGAAAACACATGTTGCTAGATAGGCTTACATGGTAATATGAAAGACAAAATATCATCATTCTTTTTATCCACCCCAATTAAAACATAAATAATATTTGATTAATTTAATAGCTAGCAATAGCAAGAACACAAAGCCGATATCAAGTTTCTGCCCTATTGGTTGAATAGCTCCACAGAAATGGCTCTGCAGATTCTAACCTTCTGGTATTCAAACTTTTTATGAGGTATAATGATACTGACTTTAGTTGATGAACATAAAAAATAAATAAAATATAATGTAGGGACAATTGTATCTGCTCTTACCCATCTTTTTTTTTAGAGTTTGGATCTTTAAAGGAATCATTACTACATGAAAATGGAAAAAAAATTAACTAGGGCATTCTTATTGGTAGTCATAGAAATAATTAAATTTAATATTTTTCTAAGATAAAAGCATGAAAATACTGGCATTAAATAAAACTCATTTGAAGAACACATTTCAGAGGCTGCTGGAAAATGACCAAGTAAGATGGTTTAATGTATATGATTGTAAATTTTATTACTGTAAATGAACACATTTTTAAGAGACAAAGGAATGGAGCTCATTATTCAGAAAAACTAAAGGCCTTTAGGGCCTTGGAAAGGTTCTGATTTATATATGGTTTTACAGTTTCTAATAATTTCCTGAGATTAGAAGGACAATGCAGCTTGTTTAGTCACTATTTTCCTTAACAAATGCAGCTCCAATATATAAATTCGACAGATTTATAGAAAATTCTGAGCTGTTGACAATTCCAAATCTGTGGTATGGGATCTACATCTGGATGGAATTTGCTAAAGAAAAGATATATTCAGTATCCAAGACTATTGCTGATAAATACCCTTCCAGTAAATTTTTTCTATCTATATTTTTAGCTGGAAGATTTTATTCTATTTTTAAAGTAAAGGGGAGGGGGGTGGATGGAGTACAGGGCTCAGATATTGTATGTTTTTGTCTTTATGGGCATTGGCAAACAATAGCCTTCTTTATCGAGATAATTCCTGTTCAGATCCATGTAGTTACTTTGGGATGGAGAGATTACGAGGTTACTGCACCTTCTTCAAGCATGATGCTAAGGGTCTTTAAACTATGGATTTGGGCAGTGTAGTGAGACAAGTTGTTCCAGAGAATAATTCAGACATAAACCTATTGTGGATACTCAGGAGTTTGCTTCAAAAAACTAGAGAACAAAAGCTGGACAGAAAGACCAGTATACAGATTTAGGCATGTCAAATTAGGATCCTAGAACATGAATGTCCCCTTCATGTTATTTTTTTAAAGTAGTCTCTATAAGCAAAAGTCCTGTATATGTATTAGAAGATCTACTGAAAATATGCTTATGCTGTATACTAAATATAATTTTGCTGTGAATGTTATTTATCATGTAGTTTTGGATCTTAATCTCATCAGATTTTTTTTTACTGTCCTTCAAACAAGACCAAAATATTTATAAGCATTAATTTGACCTTGATCGTAAAATCTCATTTGCCACCTAAGATGGTCTCCTCTGGTTATGTCCATGTTTCTGAGATTGAAGGAGAAAATATTGACAAGAGAGCATGTCAGGATGGAGGCTTAACATTACAGTTTCTTTTCCTTGTGCCATTCTTCATTTGTGCTCTAAATATCTGGCAAATGATGCTACTAAAAAGTGAAATGTAATTAGCAATCTCTATCTCATAATTATTGGAAGAAATGTCCATCATTGCTACATGATGCTTGGGAAAAAACATTCTTCCAGTCAACTGAAAGGCCATAGAACAGTATAGATTTTTCAGAGAATAAGATTAAGAAGGAGACTGGTACACTCAGCAGCCCCCAAAGTCCCCTCCCTCATGTTTGATGTAGTTAGAACAGGAAATACTTCAATTATTTTGTATAGAATTTCTGAGTCCCCACCTACAGTAAGTGAAACTGAAAACAGAATTAAATGAGGAAAATACCAATACAAAAGTGAATTGCTGTTTTTAGGTAACTTGCTGTGCCAGACTGAAATGAAGCATTTTTCAGTTCACTGACATTTTTAATTCCCAAATATTTCAGAATGGTTAGCTTATCTACAGGGTACTGCAAAAAGAGACAGGTCAATGATGAACCCTTCTCTAGATGTTAGGCAGTGAAACCCAGGAATTGTTTTTTGTTTCATTACTTGGTTTGTTCTGTATATGAAAATTAATATTCCAAAAAGTACCATTTCTTTGTGTATTTCAGGATCGTCTTGACTCTTTAACTGAAGTTGATGATTCTGGACAGTTAACCATCAAATGTTCTCAAAATTACTTGTCCCTGGATTGTGGAATTACTGCATTTGAACTATCTGACTACAGTCCTAGTGAGGATTTGCTTGGTGCTCTGGATGATATGACCTCCAGTCAAGGGAAAGCAAAATCATTTGAATCCTGGAACTACAGTGAAATGGATAAGGAATTTCCAGGACTTATCAGAAGTGTGGGTTTACTTGCAGTAGCGACAGATTCCATTGCTTCGCAGTGTAATGAAGCATTGAAGGAGAAAGAAAGTCATGTACCTGTTTCAGCAGAAGAAGGAGAAGAAAGCAAAGACAAGAAAACATCACATGATCCCTCAATAGCATCTTCTTCTGGAAATTCCTCTCTTTCTAAAGGACCTTTCTCTGAAAATGGTGTTTTACCTACTGACAGCAAAGAAGTTCCCATATCAAAGAATCCAGAGTGCAATCTTCCACAGCACACTGGTGAAAATATCAAGCACTCTCACTGTGAAAATTCAACACCTAAGAGGTCCATAAGAGACTGTTTTAACTATAATGAAGACTCTCCTACTCAGCCTACGTTGCCAAAAAGAGGACTATTTCTGAAAGATGATGTGTTTAAAGATTATATGGAATCCAATGATTTAAAAAGGCAAATCTCTCAAATAGTTAAAAATGAAATGAGTAGAAGTACACCCTCATTGTTAGATCCACCAGACAGGTCCAAGCTTTGCCTAGCTTTACAGCCGCCCTATACCACCAGTCCATCAGCAGTTAGTCAGTCATACGATTGCTTAAATACAATAAGTGATAAAAATCTTGAATACACAATAAATAATCACTTTAAAGACAGTCCCATAATTCTAGGAAAGTCTAATTTCTACACCTGTAAAGAAAAAACAAAGCACAAGAAGTCTCTTGATTCTCCAGAGAAAGTCAAAACTGCCAAAACACCTGGAAGTGCATGTGAAACAGCTCCATCAACCCAAGTCAAAATAAGAGGGTGTTCTTCTCTACAGAATGGAATTACTTCTCATAGCTCTAAGTCTCTGGAGGAGACAGAAACAGATTCTTCTGCGTCGTCAGATTCTTGTAACCAGAGAGATCCAAATGGGCAATCACAAGGTAAAACTGAACCCTTCAGTTCACCAACATGTAGCCAAAAGAGTGCTTCTTCAGCTGGTTCTGAGCTTTCCAACTCATCCCCTCTTCTGCTGAGAAGAAAGAAAAATAAAAGCTTATCCTCAACACCACACTATACTCAAAAAACCAGTAAAGACAGTGAGGTGTGGTACGGATCTGATGAATATTTAGCACTTCCTTCACATCTCAAACAGACTGAAGCATTAGCTTTAAAACTAGAAAACTTGACAAAGTTGCTGCCCCAAAAGCCCAGAAGAGAAACCATCCAAAACATTGATGACTGGGAGCTGTCAGAAATGAACTCAGATTCAGAAATGTATCCAACATACCAGACAAAAAAGCACAAAAAGAGGGGCAGAATTTCACCAAGTTCTTCGAGTGATATAGTATCCTCCTTAGGTGACAGTATTGAATCGGGGCCTCTCAGTGATATTCTCTCTGACGAAGATCTTTCTATGCCTGTATCTTGCATTAAAAAATACATTGAAGAAAAGTCAGAAAGGACTGCTGCCACTCAGCCCACTGGGAATGAGACTTCTTCTTCAAATAAATCAGCTTTAATTCGTCAGCTGATGCAAGATATTCAACATCAAGAGAATTATGAAACCATATGGGAAAAAATTGAGGTAAGGCAATAATCCTATAATCTTTTTCTGTGTTCTTGAGAAGCCTGTACATGGAGCTGGATCTGCTTGTAGGGATAGGGTTTCTTTTTTGTTTTCTTCTAATGCTGAAAATCATCTCACCTAGTGACTGTTGGAAGTAGAGAAGAACAGCAATTTTTGTATTTATAATGAACTGAAGTTAACTTTAACTATAAAGAATTTGCCTATATTAATTTGCTTACATCAGTGCCTTTACAACTGGGTAAAACATTATTTTACCAGCAGCACTTCTCTTTGCCAGGATTGGGTACATGACAAGTAATTTTTTGAAGGAAGGGTAAAAAAAACATTAGAGAATCAGAGATCTTTGCTGTATTTGAATGAAGTTATACTTGATATCATCTGCCTATTTTGTTCATTAAAAAGATTTGCTTTAGTCCAAGAATAGGAATCTTGATTCCTGCCAAATTAAGTATAATAACAACATTTATTTTTAATCAGTTCTCTTCCCTTGCAGTGATTATTTTCCCTCCTGTGTTGGTGGAACTAAGCATAATTTTTTTTATTAACTTAAATAATCCCTCTTAAATAATAGCAATGTATTAGTGCAATATGCCAGAGCAATAATTATATTCCAGTAAACTTCAGATGAGATGGGACTTCATTGGGAAGTCTTTTTGAGAAAAAAAGATAAACTTTGGAAAGGGAGGTGAATTTAAATGAATAATCAAATAAAGACCTAGCCATCTCACTAGTGTAATTCTTACATTACATTCACAGTAGATGTTTGCTTCAGTTTTCTAATGCATTTGTCCTCCTGGCCATTGCAGAGTGCTGCTCACCTCAGAACATTCCATGTCCATCCTCAATAGCATTTAAGTTTTCAGAAAAGAAAATGCATCTCTATTAGATTTCAAAATGCTTTAAAATTAGTAACACATGCATTAAAGGGTGATGTTGGCATCTAAATGCTTAATCTGATATTTGCAATACCTTCTGTGTTATCAGGTAGTGTATGAGCTGAGAAAAGAAGACTAGTCTTATATGGCCAGGAAGTCTTTCTTACCAAGCACAATTTCTGTAACTTTTGAAGGCATGGGAAGTATTATGACTAGTAGAGAAATTGTTGAGCTAGAGATACTTGAAAATAAAGTTGGGGTAGAAAATACAGACAGAGAAATTTCTTAAACAAATGAGGGTGCAGCAGCTGTCAGCTCTGAAGGGCAGTGCTTAATGATGCAAACTGCTCCCTCTGTCTTCATGGATGGGGCTCATCTTCCAAACTTTGATGAAAGAACTGTCTTAGTAAGTGCAAATTGTTTCTGTCCTTGAGTCTGTGTAGTGCTGAAAATTAGTCCAGGCTGAAGCTGACAGATACAGAGCCCTTCATTCTGTGAAAGCAACAAAGCCCATCAAAGCCGCTTGTGAATACATAAGATGCTGTCTTTCAAATGACACTGCAAGAGCCTGCTTTAGAATGGAATTGTTGAGTGTCTAGGCACCAGTGCCTTCCACTAGATGCTGACTTCCTTTTGGCAATAAACAGGTGGCAGAGAAACTTCTTGTATCATACTCTCAAATCATCATATTTATTTTAATCAAACTTTTTGGCCTCTCTTTTGAGGGGCCATCTGTCTTTGTGTGATTCCTTGCAGCTGCAGTTCAACCCTACCAGAATGGAGGAGTAAGAATCAGCTGTAACAGCTGTCTGCAGCTGTAAACACCCTCCTCTTCCTCTCCATCCTTTCCTCACCTCCTCTGGAGAGTGGATTGAGCTTGTGACAGCAATTAAAAGCAGTTAGCTGTTCTGTGGCCAGAGTAAACCCTTCCTAGCTGTTGACTCCAGCTGCTGCTCTTGTCTTTGAGCAACTTTGCTGCTGACACTGCACTTTCTACAATTACTCAGTGTTTCTGATTGTGATAAAAGCTTGGAAAATATTAATGTGGAGTTTGAAAATAATGTTATGAAGTACGTTTGGCTCATAGTAAAAGAAGGGTTTTAAACAGAAAGAAGAGCAGATGCAAAGAGGACTGCTAGGAAGAGAGAGCTTAGTGTTCCATCAACTTAAAAGCAGCACATAAGTAAGTTTCATATTTCACTAAATGTGCTTCCTGAATAGTGAATTAAAAAAAAAAAAATCAGGTGAAAATTTTGGAAATACTTAAGAAAAATTATACTATTTTAAATAAATATAAGTTTTCCCCAAGCTATTCACCAAAGTTTTTCTATTATTGCTAGTTATTAAATCTTCTGCTTGTACCACTAGTTAAAAAAAAAAAAAATCACTTTTTCAAAAGCTGTAACAAGGCAAACCCTGCATCAGTGACAATATGATGCCTAGCTGAGGTACTTTAACTTGACATAATTAATAAGAAAATAGAAAATTCCTCCCTTATGTCATGCTATTAAATATTCTGAACAAAAAGGAGCCTAATTAAAAATACCATACCTGTATCACAATTAAGTTCTTTCTTTTACTAGATCTCTGGCTTCATAATTCCCAAGACAAGAAGCAAAAATATGTCATTGTTTCTTTCAATTATTGTAAATTGGCTCTTGTGTTAATTCTGTTACCTAAGAAGATGTATCCCACTCAAAATGGAGTTTCTTAATTTCACAAATATATCTCTTAGCAATAACTCAATACTGCTTTTGTTAACAGCAGTTTTGTGCTGAAGAAGTCAGATCTGAAAGGTGAACTTCATTTTAAGGACATAAGAAGCATGCTTATTCCCATCAGTAATCCAGTTGCATTGCTGTAAATGTCTAGCATGATGTATTTTATTTATTAAAATTGTAAACAAAACTAAAATAACTTAGCCTTTCATGTTGGGATGATGACAATTTAGAAACAACTGGCAGCCTCAAAATCATTGAAAGTAATATTTTACCTAGATAATAGGAAAAACAAGGAAATTTAGGTATTTTATTATGATTATTATGGGAATAATTTTGACAGTATAAATCTGGTAATATCTTCATAGAAAGCATTTTGTTGAAAATATGCTAAAGCATTTGTTGAAAATTTTAATAATTTCTTATAGAAATGATAGTCATGGGCAGAAACTGATAAATTGCTATTTTTCATACTTGCAAGTTATGTTGATGTCCTTGCATGGGCATTATCATGCTGTTAATATTCCTGTCTGTCTATAGATAGAACATGGCTCAACTGCCCCATTTGCTGTTACATAGGGCCGCTTTCTTGCTTTGCAATAAATATTGCATAATCTTGTTATATTTTGTCTTGCACTGCAGGTAACCCTTTCTTGTACCCTTAGTAATGGGCAGCTTCATTCTGGGGTGCAAATTTATGTGGCTGTTTATTTTATGTTTCAGAAATTACTTTTTGGAGTTAAATGTGAAAATGAGCCATAGCAAGTTCTGAAAGTTTCCCTCATTGTTTTAGTTCAGCTTCTGGGAGCTGCCCCAAATGAACTTTTAGAATGCAGTGTATAATGTAACTATAGTTTCTGTTACACTGGCTAAAAGGGGGACAGATACAACAGCCACATTCTCACACATAACGCCAATAGAGTTCTTTGTTATAAGAATTTGTCTGATTGCCACTAGTACTTTGGAGTTTTAGAATGCTTCAAGGTTTGCTTTCTGTGAGAAACCTAAGTTTTCCTTAAAATCATATTAATAATTGGGTTTTCCTCATATTTTTATGTACAAACTGAAAAACTGGAGCAAAAAATGGTTTTGGACTGATCAAAAGGCAATATGTTTTCAACAATTTTATTGCTGAAACAATAAAGTAACCTTGTTCGGGCAGTTTTAGCTCTTTCTTCAGAAATTGATACTAAATTGACTATACTGATATCCTTATGCTGTAATATGTGGTGATTGATAATTCCATCCACTTGTTTTTTGAGGGCACTATTAAAAAGTTTAGAAGTGTAACCAATTGCTAGCTACTTCATTTAAGTGAAGTATTTGATATCTATTGATCCCATATTTTCAGTTCGTCACATTTCATAAACTTGTCCTGAACTCCATTGGCTCTATATTTTGTCTGTGTAGTCCAGTTAGTCTGGGCTACCCACCTTCTTGATGTGATAAGGAGATAAAATCCTGCTGCTTGATGAGTTTTTCAGCTGTCAGTTACAGCAGGCCCCAGGGACCCTACAGCAAAGAGATGGATAAAAATTTTACTGCCTTCCATGACCCAGGCAGGGAACCCCTCACCCTTCTGTAACCATTTATCCCAGCTGAAGCCAGGATGCTCCAGGAGAGCAGAGATCTAAGACCCCTGTTTTAAGTTGGAGCAATGGGAATAACTTTCCTGTTAAGGAGGAACTAAGGATCAGTGCAGCCTGCAGAGGAGATGCAGGCTGCAATATCATAACTAAACTTGTTACTGTGACAAATAGCTGGTCTGTTGAGGTGGGAAACATTTGCATTTTTAGAGAATAGTCACAAAAAGTAACTAACAGGTGGACTTCTGCAAGCGCTTAATGGAGCTGATAGAGCAAGTTTGTGCTGGAGATGTGGCTGGAAGTCCATTTGAGTAGTGGAGACCCAATTTGTTAAAAAATGGTTGGAGAGCTGACACAAAGGGGAAATAATTTATTTAGGTTGAAAGGGGACAGCGTTGCTTCTGGACAGAGAGTGGACTGAAAACACACCAGTAGCTAAGGTAGAAGCTGGATTGCTTTAGGGGAAGTTTACTTGTGTTTGGAGGTGGTTTTCATCATTAGAGAGAAAAGCTTGCACAGAGGTCAAATGCAGTTTGAGCCGTGGGGCTAAGGTAGTGAAAAACTAACAAGAACTGATAACTCTGATGAATCTTGGTAACAAAGAAAAACGTGGAACTGAAATCAGTAATGTCAGAACAGGAGGAAAAAAGCAGACATAATCAATGTGGCACAGACCTGGCTTTCTTGAATTACCAGATAAAGAATTTTTAAAGTGTTACAGTGCTCCCTTATACCTTGTGTTTTCAGTAACTTAGTGCTTCTAATATTTGCTTGTTGCAGTGTGTCTCTTGTTAATGGTATGTTCTGTTATTTCCCAA